GACATGTATCGGGTCGGTAATTGAGCATGACTAGCTGTGCGGTGTAGCTTGATTACTGTACAGGGAGGCCGCGTAAATTTGTATGGGCCCCGTGCGCGTGCGTGATCAACCCGAGCTCCCATAGATCTTTTCAGCAGTGCTGGAGATCGCAACGGACAGTGGTGTGCGCGTGCGGATAGCCCTGCAGAGGAGCGTGGTTTTCTCGCTTTGGGGTTATTGTGAATTGCAGTGCGTTCTATATATAGCCTCATAAGCATTAAATTTTTATCGCTGAAAGAGATCTAGAGATCTAGATAGAAATTGTAAATTATTATCGGTCAATATGAATGTTGGTTTATCTTGTCAAAAGAGGAATGCTAATGTTCAATTGATATTTGAATCCCGATTTAGATGGAAGAAGATAAGACGAAAAATCTTCCGATGGATGAGGAAGAAAACCAGGATTCACTGGTTGACTACGATAGTGACAGCAGCGTGGTCACAGTGGTAGAGAGAGAGAGAGGTAGTGATAAAACAATAAGTAAAGATGAAGGTAAGAGAGTATTTTTTTTAAATAAAACAATCAAGAAGGATAATATACTTGTGCATTCAGAGATAGAGTAATTTAAAAATTTTGTTTAGAAGAAAAAGAGAACAAGAAGGAGACTGAAGCAAAAGGTGCAATCCCGAAACGTGGCAAACCAAAAATAATAGAAAACATAGATGTAAATAGAGAATGGGCTGAAAATCGTCCTGTACTACCAATAGGGACAAAGATGCTTTACGAGAAACAAGAAAAGATGGTTGAGAAAATGGACTCGGTAATGAAGATGTTGGATAAGGTTATGACCCAAGCAACCTCCATGATGGAAAACATGGTAGAAGTCGCCCGCGTAAATTTAGAGAAAGAGAAACTAAAAATTAGACGTTTAGAGGTAAATAAACAGAATACGCAAAGTAAAGTAGAAAACGGTATACAAACGGTTAAAGAATCAGAAGTAGAGCCTAAAAAGAAAAAGTTAGATGAAACAGTCTGTTCAGTCGAGAAAAATAGAAGTTTAGAGACAATTAAGAGTGCTTTAGAAGTAGAATTAAACAGTCAAAGGTTGCATATTAGAAGAGAATATAAGCTAACGCAAAAATCTAACTTTGATCTTTGGATGGATTATTTAAAATCCGAATTAATGAATAACGAGTTATTAGATGTAATAGATTCAAACATTGATAATCCAGAAAATCTTTCCGAATTAAAAGTTGCTAAGAGAAAAAGTCTAGTTAGAGATATAATAATCAATCATTTAGATGAAAATTATCATAAAAGGATTTTACATGAGAAAGATCCAAAAGAAATTTTGAAGAAATTAAGAAATTATAAAAAGAGTGAAGTAAACGTTACTCATACATCGGTACGAACTAAACTCTATCAAATTAAAATGAGAACCCGAGTCGAAATTTTTCTCCTATTTTCGACCTCAATGTTCAATCTAGCACCTACTTTCGACCAAAATGTTCTACCTAACACCTACTTTGATACTTTAAGCAGTCACATCACCCTATTTTGAATCTCTTCAACCTCTTCAACCTCTGGCTCCTATTTAGAATCTGACAATTCTGTTTGAAAAGAAATCATGCTCCTACTTTAATGTTCCTAACGTTTTCTTAATTTATTTATTGCATTTAGTTTATTTTTATTATTATAGGTTTATTATATTTTTGATTAAATATTATATATGATTTATTAAACGTTTATAATAACGTTTATAATAAATGTTTATAATAACGGTTCTCTCTATTTATTAATTTAATCAAAAATAGTAAAAACAAAATTAAAAGGAATTTTATTAGGTTAATAATAATAGTTATATTATTAATAACTAAAAAAAATAATTTTATATATGACGTATAAATGATTATTTATATATAATAAAATTGTATTTTTCTATATTATTTTTTCCTTTTTTCTCTCTTTTTTCTTTATTTATTAGAATAATTCAAAATAAAATTAAAAGAATGTGTGTATGTATGAGTACGCATGCGTATATGTGAAACTAAAGGTAGGAAATTTTAAATATATACAAAACTATTACAAAACATCTTTCTTTTTGTTATTACTTCTTATAATTACTTATCTTCATATATTTACATGTTACTAAATTTACGATAATTGAATATGGACTGGTATTTATTTATTCAAGCTCTTGCCCAATCAGCAGACAATGTTTTTTAAATGTGTTTTTAATATTCATTTTTTATTAATTATACATTTGTACAATTCATTGTAAAAATAATATTTATTTAATGTTTATTAAATATTTATTTCACATTGATTATTTATTTGAAGTAATAATTTAGAAAAAATATTTATTAAACGTTTATTTAACGTTTATTTAATATTTGTTTTACATTAGTAAGTTATTTGCAATAAGTTAAAAAAACATTTATTTAACATTTATTCGACATTATTTTAATATTTATTTTACATTAAACATTAACTATTTATTTGCCATAATGAATTGAAAAAACATTTATTTAACATTTATTCGACAGTAATGTAATATTTATTTTACATTAATTATTTATTTGCAATAATGATTTAAAGAAACATTTATTTAACATTTATTTAATATTAATTTAATATTTACTTCAGATATTGCGCTCGAATTCCTTCGCGTTTTGCAAACGCCCGATCGTTTCATTCAGATGTAGATGGCGCGACGCGTGAGTCGCCACTTTCAAAGCGCCCCCACTCCTTCCTCGCTCGGCTCGCTCTCGTTCAGTCAGTTCAGTGTCATGGCCGCTCTTGCTGCGTTTCTTCGGACGAGACGAGTACGTTTTCCTTCTTTCGTTTGATTGAGCTAAGCGGCACATATTCTGGAGACCAACCGAGCGAGATTCGACTTCCCAAGGAGAGCTCACCGCCAGGAAAAGGAGAGCTGCGGCAGTTCGCGTCCGAGAGGGAGAATTGAGGCGAGGAGTCCGGTCCAGCGAGCAGGGCCCTTCCGATATTCTCATTTAGGACGCCATATTGGAAGATCGACATTGTTCGTAGTAGTACAAGGAGCTCTGCAAGGTTAATCTCGTCTTGAGATCTTGGAATTGCTCTTATTCTTGTGACTCTGGTTTATATTTTGGCCCTAGAATTTATCTCGTAGACAAATGCAGAGGCCCCCCCTCTCTTTTCTTCTCTTTTCTTTTCTTACTTTGATTTCAATCGGTAATCCAGACTCCTTAATTCCGTATTATTAATATTATTTGTTAAATGGCATTTGTGATATGCGATTAGTTATTTGGTATTAAGGTATTAATTTTAAGTTTTATTAGTATTAAGATATTTCATTTTAAGATACTCACAATCAGTATCAAGACATTTTTCAATTTTAATTTTAATTTTGTTGAAATTAAATTTTAATTTTAATTTTTATTAAAATACAATACATATATTAATTGTTTTAAATAGTTAAAAATTTATTTTTTTTTCGTTATGATATAATATGAGTTTAATTTAGATAGTATGCAAGAGTACATGAACAAGTAGATAAAAAAGTGTAAACAAATAAATATATGTTCCTTTGTACCTTAGAAACAAACGTGTGCGATCTCTTAGATTTTTTCTGACTCTCCCCCCTATATGCTATTTACCACATTATCATATTAACATGCTCTATGTCATGTATATTATCGGTGACTTGCAGTGGAGTTTTTATTTAAGTTGTGTTTCATATGGTTAATAAAAAAAAGATTTATTATATAAATTTTATAACATTATTAATTGTGATACATGTATGTCTATATGTATCTGATTAATTAACAATGTTATAAAATATTTTGCGGTAATATTTTTTTAATATTAAAAATCTTAGATTCTAAATAATAAATCTAGATAAATATTGCGTTTAACAGAGCAACGAGATACGCCAACATAAGTCAAAGTCACAACCGTATCTCGTTGCTAAATTTACCAAAACCTATACTATATGAATTATCGATGATGTACGTGATATGGAACATGTTTCATTACGATTTAAAAAGTAGTAAAAATTAATACATTGATAATAAAATGTACTAAAATAAATGTTTTCTCCAATAGTCCTAATAAAGTATTCTTTTGAATTCAGTAAATATTTTATTAGGTTTAGAAAATTTGTTTCAATTAGATGAATAATTTTTTCATTCGAAAAATATTAACTGAATTAAAAAAATACTTTATAAGGACTATTGGAGAAAACATTAATTAAAATTTAGTACATTTTTCTATCAGTGTAGGATCTAGAGGGTTTTAGGAGGTTTAGGAGGGTTTTACCGATAACTCCTCTTTTAAACCTCAAAATGGGAAACAGTCCGTTTTCTGCCGTTTTCAGGCACAAAGTAGGAGCTAAGTACAATACAATTAGAACCTATCAAAATCCTCCAGAATCCTGAGATGTGAAAATAAGAGGTCGAAAGAAGGAGTAAAATTTCGACTCGGGAAAAGACGAAAAAGTAAGTGATTTTTGCGAACGCTTTGATTCAATAATTAGAGAATATGAATCATGCGAAGATGCGGTACCTCTCACAGAACAAGAAATGAGATCTGCATTGTATCAAGCTGTGTCAATTAATGTGCCGGAACTGAGGAATGTAGATTTAATTAGAAGACAAACTAATCTTAAAGAAATGAATGTAGATGAAATAAAATCTTTCATGATGCAGTTAGAGGCAGAGACTAAGAGTGAAGTTAGAGAGAAGCTAGAGAAACCAGAGGTTAGAGTGCAGAGGGCTACCGCAGAAGAGCACAAAGAAGTAAAGTGCTACCGATGCAACAAATTGGGTCACATGGCGAAGGACTGCCCACTAGCGGGATCAGAGGCCTGGTTCTGTTATTACTGCCAGGAGATTAGAGGACACAAGGGTGATAGCTGTCCTAATGCCGGAGCCCAGACGAACAGATTTAGAGGAAAAAGGTATACAAATAAAACCGTTAATAAAAATATAAAGAAAAAGGGTAGATTTGCGCAAAGAGGAACAAAAAGAGTAGATAATAAAGGGAAAGTAACCAAAATACAACCAGCCAAGAAAACTATACCATCGCAAACAGCAATTGAAGGAAAACCAAAAGAAGGTAAATTATGCATGGCTAAAGTAATAGAAGATAGAGATAGTTCAAAAGAATTAGTCAATTTTATTGTAGATTCGGGTGCAACAGATCACATTGTGAATAAGAATATAATTTTATCAAACTTTGAAAAATGTAATAATAGAGTTATTAAATGTGCGAATAAGAATGAGCTTGCAGACATTTCAATAGATGGTAAAGGAGATCTTTTGTTGTTAACAAATGAGAAAGAAAAGAAAGTAATTAAATTAACAAATGTAATTGCAACGAAGGAAGTATCCGAAAATTTACTATCTTTAAGAAAGCTGGCTGATGCAGGGTTCAGTATTTATTTAGATGATAAAGTGTTTAAAGTTCACAATAAACTAACAAATAAAATTGTTTTTGAAGGAATTTATGAGAAACCAAATTGGATTATGCAATTTGAGGTTAAAAACAATAATATAGAGGACAATGAAAGTGTAGAATGTGCTGTGCATAGATGTAGAGCAGAAATTATTTCACATTGTGAGTCCCTTGAACAATCGCAAGCAAACATTCAGACCAGTGAATTATCAATTTCGGAGGGAGAATTAGAC